AGGTAGTCGAGATGTAGTTCAGCCAAAGGCTCTCTGGGAGAGTGGGATGGAAAGGCCCCAAATTAGATTTGCCTCAAGCTACTGTGGCAGCTCGTGTAGACAGAGATGAATTTTGAACCAAAGGAAGCCAAAGTGATTTTGTTTAACCGTTTTCCTCACTTTTAAATAAGCTGGCGTATAATATCACAATTTGTTTTGGTTTTCCTCAATGAAAATTCTGAAGTCTTTAACAGCTGACAAGGAAGTTTTATGGAGGTTATTTGGAGGTTAAAAAAGCCCCAAATCTCACTGTTCTTAATATCTTTTAACCACCATGCGTTCAGTCCTAAGAAAAAAATAGTATTATAACTTCATAGTCAGCATCATTATTCTGCTTCCTTCTCATCTTAGTGCTGTTTTGGCTACTCAGCTGGGGTAGAAATTGTAGAAAAGTCAGCCATACATATCTCAATTAAATGTGATTATTGTCTGTAATTGAGAGGGATATTTGATAATGTATTGTGTGTGAGATAGGGTTGGGACAATTGAGATGCCTTGCATATCCCGGATTTTGGCATTGTGAGAATTATTATGAAACACAAAAAGTGGAGATTATCTGCATGCTTTGTAATGAACATGAAGGGGGAAAATCCCTTACATTTCATATTACATTTGGATGGACAGTGCTTTTTTATACTCAGGTCCTGTTTTCTTTGATGCCTATTCAGCACTGTTTTGTTTAACGAGGCAACTTCTTCAGTGCATGTTCTCTATCACTTATTTAACAGGATATCTGTTTTCTGTGTTGTCCTTTAAATCAGAAAGCAGTTTAATTGTTCAGTTTGGGTGGGGCTGTGAAATGGGGACGGGATGTACCCTTGAGCTGTGTTTCTGAGGCTGCTGGGATTTCAGCAGGGGATTGTTATATCCAAATTCAGGTTTGTTTGGGTCTCAGTGAGGGGACATCTCCTTTGAATTTTCTGCCTTTCATATTTTTATGCACTTACACAGCCAAATATATGAAGTGCAGCCCTGTTCAGCGAGATAGATAAAAAGCTGTGCTGGAGTCAGCTGCACCCTGGCTGCTCTCAGCTTTTGTTTGAAAAAGGGCTATCCTGAAGTACCTCATTCTGTTAAATATTAGTGAGCCAATGCAGTGAATTTGGATCACTAAAGTTGACTGAAGATACATTATCTGCCTGGTGTTGTGGCTGGTAAATAGCTGGTTCCTGTGGGAAGCACCTAAAAGGGTAGAGGGTCTTTGGTAGCACATTAATTCTTTAAACAAAGCTTGATCACAGCAAACTCTAACATCAGTCTTCGAAGAAGGATAAAAGAGAAGGAAGAGATTCAGACAGTTTTTTCCTTTTGTAAACTGGCTGCTTTATAGGGGAAAAAATAGCTGGAAATAGCCTGTCTCGTCCCAAATGAAAGGTTGTGGATTAAGGCACTGCATTAGTGAAACAGCTGCACCAACGTGAAACAGAAAGTCCTCCAGCTTCAGCCATTATGGGTTTGTTTGGTTAGCTCTAATTTTGGAAGTCATTATAGCAAAGGTAAATGACTTGCACAGGAGACTACTGTCAACAAAAGACTTGATACATTTATTTTGGCAGGAGCCTTGAGGAGTCTCAGGCCTTTCAGTGCCTCCTTTATGCAGTGCTTCTCCCGCTCTCACTGCGTGCCTGTGTGCAGGCAGCTCTCCCTTCCTCCCTCCCTCCCTGCCTCCCCTCCCACAAGTTCTTTTCCCTTGACAGGTCGGATTTAAGGATGGCATCACCTGCTACTGAATTGCTGGTGTGTAGCTGTAGAATATCTTTATGTTCAGAGTAGCTGCCCCTGGGCTTCTAAAGCTGCTGTGTTTTGCTCAAGTGAGAATCTGCTCTCTCCCAGTCTAGTACTGGAATACAATCTGTCAAAACCTTCACTTTTAATTGTGTCTCCTTATTGGTTGCTATTTGTGTTTCCTTATTTTAGCATTTAATAGCTTTATACTTATAGATTCTAAGCATGCTGTTGCTTAGCTGAGTTTTCCAGCTTTTTGGTGAAGATTGAACTGTGAGAATGATAATTCCCTTCCCAGGCCTGTGCCCGTGTGGTTGAGTGAAAGCTCAGAGTGTCCATTCCATGCTGACTTACACTTGTATAGGTGGGGAGGCAAATTCCTGATGACAGAAGGAGTGCCCAAGCAGAGCCTGCTCCTTCCTTTCACAAAGCTCCTTGGGAACATTTCCTATGGGCCTGGCAGAGCTTTCCTTGCTCTGTAGAGCTGGGAGGGTGAAGGAGAGGGGCAGAGTGAGAATCCTCTCCTTGTGCAGTTTCTCTGTCCTGCACTCCCTGGCTGCTGAGTGACCCAGAACTCCCCTTTGCAATGCCTGCCATGGGTGACTTCTGACTGCTCTCCCTTCCCAGCTGTGGGGAAATGCTTTCAGCCATTGAATATTTGTTCAGGCATACTTTGACTTCTAAAACTTATGGGGCAGACTACTGTTAATTATTTTATTTAAAATACAAGATGATTATGCTGCCTCCCCAAATGACAAGAACTCCATCCCTGTGTGTCCTCACACACACTTTATGCCCATTGCTGCTGGTCATTCTGACAAATAACCAGTACCAAAGGAATTATAAAGTCATTTTCTTGTGTTGCTGTAGAGGGAGGATTATCTTTATCTCTAAAATTGTTCCCTTAGTGCTTATTAACTAGAAATACAGTAATTGAGAACCTGGTAGGAAAAGATTTTGTCTGATAGTAGCCCTGATCTCTCAAATTGAGTATAACTACATAATAATTACACACTCAAGTGTTTGACTGGTATGACTGATATAAACTAGCCAACCATGGAATGGCATGCCTGGAAAGAGGTTTTATTTCAGATTAATTTCATCTCATGCTGTGTATACACCATGGTTATGCTTTCAGGTCAGGCAATTGATTCTGAAGAAGATGTGGGTTTAGCTGCATGAACTCTTTTGAACTTCCTTCCACCTGCAGGGTCTTTGAATGTCAGGAGAAGCAGACAGCTTTGGTATTTTGCTCCAATGTATTTAAAAAGCCTGAAATGTTAATACAAAAATCTCTTAAAGAGGAACATCCTGCACTCCAGCTTATTGGGGGAAAATGCAAACGATACATCTCTTGGAAAGGCCAGGACAATGTTTTGGCTTTACAGTAAGTAATTAATAAAATGCAGAAAAAATAAAATACAGATTTTTTTTTTTTTCCTGTGAGGAGGTGACTTGATGTCCTCATGTCCTTCTGTATAAAGCTTAATGATGAGGTTTGTTTACCAGCCCCAATATTGAATATAAACCCGCTGTGAAGTGCAACTGTTTTGGCTGCACAGACTTGTTTTAAAGTTCTGCTGTGAGGTTCAGCCTGGAATTTCAGGGGCAGTGATATGTGGCTGTCAATAGAACAAAAACTCTTGGAGAAATGAACAACTGTAAAGTTGTGTGTGCTGATCCCAAAATGCTCCATACACTGCATCCATCAGGAAGTGGGCAGAAGGAGAATGTAGCTTTTAAAAATGAAGAACCAGCATAATTTACAGCAAAGATCTAATTGATATCTAGAATTTAAGACCTGTGAATTTAATATCATAACCTTTTCTTCAAACAATAAGGTTGTATTACAGCATTTCTAGAAGTTTATGCTCATGGGAATTAGTGTATTCCTGATACTTTATGATATGCTATTCCTCTTCATTAGTGTCTATTGTGGAGGATGTTTTATGTCCTTTCTACTTATCAGAACATGCTTCAGGTGTAACATTCTCAATAAAATTGACTATGGAAATAGTCTTGTTTTATTTTAAAGAGTTTTGCCAACTCTTCCCAGATTTGTTGAATTTAGTAAACACTCCAGGTAGGCATTGGCAGGGAGGTCTGTGGGAATTCCCACTGAGCTTTCTGCCTCTCACCCCCAAACCATTGCATAAAAAATGGAAATGTGTGCAGTCCCAGGAGCTCATGAGGATGTTTTATGTCCTTTCTACTTATCAGAACATGCTTCAGGTGTAACATTCTCAATAAAATTGACTATGGAAATAGTCTTGTTTTATTTTAAAGAGTTTTGCCAACTCTTCCCAGATTTGTTGAATTTAGTAAACACTCCAGGTAGGCATTGGCAGGGAGGTCTGTGGGAATTCCCACTGAGCTTTCTGCCTCTCACCCCCAAACCATTGCATAAAAATGGAAGTGTGTGCAGTCCCAGGAGCAGAGTCTCACTGCTCCAGCTGTGCGGGGCTGAGAGGAGGCTCTTGGGGGTGTCCCTAAATTCTGGTACTTGAAAGAACCTAGGTTTGTTCTTCTAAGCTCAGACAAAATTGAGTGTGTGTTGTGGCAGGACTTTCCCCTGGGCTCGCTGTGACAGGGCAGGGAGGGCAGGGTTGTGTTCTTGTTTTCTTCATTCTGCACAGGCCAGAGAAGGCTCAGAAAGGGATTATTTAAGTCCATGAGGAAATACAGCTGCAACTGGAGGAATTTGCTGTTTAAGCCAGTTTCTTTTTCAGAGTTTCTGTTGCTATAGCCACTTTATTCCTAGCAGAACTGCTGGAAAGGATGGAAATGGAAAGAAAAAATTGGCCAGTTCCTTGTGCAACAGGTGCAGTGTTCATTTGTGAGCACAGAGTGAGCTGAATCTCCTTCCATGCCCAGAGAATGCCTGCAGGCAGCACCTTCCACAAGAACCTGGGATTTCTGCATTTCATATCTCCTGGAGAGATGCCAAGCAGAATTTAATTGCTTGTGGTGCAACCTTTCTCTGTGGCTAGATAGGATATTGAATGCTTTTGAACTCCTAAATTGCCATGGGATGGCCTGATCTGGCACAGTTGTGTTTAATCTGCAGACAGATAATGAAAGATGCTCCATCACACAGAGCTCTGTGATGCACTTCTTTCTTTTATAGACACGAGGCTTCACTGGAGGGGGAGGAAGGGAGCTCTTGCATTAACACACATGTTTGTTTTTCTGTTTAGTAAATTGACAGGTGTTTGGTTTGTCTTGTGTCTGCCCAGGAAACCACGTCCTGTCTCCTGGAGAGGCTGTTGGGAAAGGTCTGACACCGGACGCTGCGCGAGATCTCGGGCTCCCGGAAGGGATTGCAGTGGCAGCATCTCTCATTGATGCACATGCTGGAGGACTAGGTACTCACTCATGGATTCACTGCTCTTGGAGACAGGAACTGTTGAATTAATTTCAGAAAGCCATTTTTGTCACAGACTGTTTTTATCCAGCCATTTGCTCTGATGATAGTCTTAAAAACTACCCCAAATCATCACACTACCAGCACTGCAAATCTGTTTCTAGAAAGAGGATATATCACTGTTATATGTCTTTTCAGCTGGATTTGCAAATTGTTTGTTAATTTCTGCTAGTTCTGCTTTTGACTGAAACACCGTGGTGTTGGAATGCAACATGCTGAGAGTTTGCATCTTCTTTTGCTTAAAACTTTGGGGATAAGTAAGAAAAAAACACAAACATCCATTCTGAGGGAGAAGCCTCATGTTTGATGCTTGTTCATAGTTGGGATTCTTATTAGCATTAGAAATGATTCATGATTCAAAGCTTTAAGGTCTGATGCTTTGACTTTTTTTCTTTTCCAGCACAATATTCTGATGTTCAACCCTGGTTTTTCTTTTCTGAAAGTCATTGGATGAGGCCAAACAAGTTAATTTTCTTACTGTGCTGTTTGGCCTTGTCCAAATACTGTCAATAAGAAAGAGACTCAGTGTAACTTTCTCAGCAGGAAATTGAGGGTTTTTTAGTTTGCTGGTTTAGAAAACAGTCTTACCTCAGGAAGTTTCACTGTTATTGAAACAGTACTCTTTAATGGAAATCTATTACTCATCAGAGGATTTTTTACTAGATCTAACTGAAATGTGATTAGGTGTTAAACTACCAGTTTTGTTTCAAATGTTTTGTGCTGTTTTAAATTTCATTTGTCCTTCTAGAAACTGTGGCTGGGAACTTTTTAGTGTTTAAATCCCTTTACTTTGCTTTTGGTGAGGCTGAATAATCATGGAGATTGCATTTCTTGCTACCTGGAAAGGATTAGATGTAGATCTGTCTGCAAAAAGGAAGACTGAGCTTCAGTGTCATATTTGTAGGTGTGTTGTGACTGACTTAAAAATATCTGTCAGTATCCTAATTGCATAAAAACGTGTTTAAAACTGTGTGCCTTGGCAATTCTATGTTATTGAAAAAGAACAGAGTAATAATCTGACCTGAAAGAATTAACTTGCTGCAAAACTAGGTTGTCACAGAGCATGTGAAAACAGCAGTGGAACGTCCTTGTTTAATTGGCATCATTATGGATCCAGAGCACAAAAAGTTTTCCCATTTTTTCATGTGCTGAAATCACTCAATTGAATTTTAAAAAGAATAGAGAGCAAGTGTCTGTTCCTTGATACAGAGTTGTGTAAAGAAACTCTGACATTAGAAACACTCAGCTACTGGCATCCCTCAGGAAAGGGCTGCACTGGATAGAGAAGTCTGCTAATCTGAATATGTTTTCCCAGATGGCACCACAAACACCAGCAGACTCCTGGAATGATTGCCAGGAGGAGAAAACCAACACACAGGTTGTTGTTAGGGAGAGGGGGGCATTACAGAGGGAAGAGTCAGGAAGATAGTGGGAGAACCTGATAATCCCACCCATAGCTCAGTGCAGTCTGACACAAGAGGAGCATTTACAGTGGAACTCATAATTCTTGAATCCGGAAGGGTAATAAATATATTGGAAATGGTGTGGAAACTTAGTAGAAAGGACAGCAAGAATGAAAAGATTTGATAGCAAGAATGAAAAGATTTGATAGCAAGAATGAAAAGATTTGATAGCAAAAATGACAGCAGGAACAAAAGGAGAGTCGAAGAGTGCAGATATCTGTAAAGAAAATATCCTGCAGGCTAAGCCAGAATGATGTGATGGACATCTTGTTTGCAGTGTTAATAACTTTTGATGCAGCTCATGTCTGCTTTTGGCTAGATGTGAAGTGTGGTTTGGCTGAGCAGGTTCCTGAAGTTTATGAAGGCTTCAAAGCTTTGAATACAATAAGGTAAAGAATTGTTTAGTGTGTATGTTTGAGGAGGTCATGTGTGACTCCTGGATCAGTCCATCTGATACCTCTTATGGAAAAGTGAGGATCTAAGAGCCAAGAAGTTATATCTGGCATTTTGACCTACTGTACTAATTTCAGAGAGTGTACAGATAAAACTGTGAGGATGGCAGGCCAGGCTTGTGGGGCTGGCCTCATAAAAATGCTGTTTACATTTCACCTTTTCAAAAGGCATCAGCATTGTTTCAACAAAACTAGATGATTTATGGTGCAGTGTCTAAAATACCATGTCACTGTGGAAGAGATCCAGAAGTACACATTGCTAAGCACTGCTTGCCTTCCTAAAAAGCTCTCCTCTGTTCTGTGTGGTGCACACTTCTTGTTCTCAGCCTCTGCTTTTGAATCTGCCTCAGACTATGAGAAATTCCACCTAAGCTAAAGGTGAAAGTGACTTATAGCAGCAGTTATATAACTTTTAGCCTATATTCCAGACTTATTTGCTGTCTGACTTTAATTAATCACAAATAAGAAGATTCTAACAATTCTAAACACTGGTGAAGCCACTGACTAAAATTCCAAAAAGAGCCATAATTCCTGTTTTGCAGGATGCATATTTTCTTAGCAATTAAAAAGATCTTTTCAGTTTTATATTGTTTATGAAAATACATTTGCAGCATATGCTGATTGTTTAGTTTAATAGATTTCTTCCCTCTCAAGTGTGAACAGTATTTTTAACTCAAGAAATTCGAATACGGTCTTGCTTAGTACAGGAATTTGCCTTGTAGACAACCCTATCCAAAATTCCTAATATGCATTTATTCTGTTGGAGCAGTGAAAAAATAAAACATGAAGTAGAAGCCTTACTTTTAGCTTTTTGTTGTATCTAAGTCTCTTTAGGACAGCTTCATAGCTCTTTAGTGCCACTTCATAGTTACAAGTTGGTTTAGTTAAAGGGACATAAGGATGGATTTTTTAAGACTTTAAAATTTTAGCCCTTAATTTTTTCATGATTTAGATGACTTCCAACCATGGTAATACCAGGATAACCATGGTGATCCCAGTATGACAAATCCCACCAGACTGATTTGATAACAGAGCATTGCAGTGGTGATCTAAACAAGATCATGTTAATGAAATGTAGGATATGAACCAGCCCTAGCACTTAGCATCTTTCACAATGTCCAGCAAATGTTTTCCTGATCCTTCTACAGACAGATGAAGGGGATTTTTTTAATCAGTATTGACATGCTGGTCTCCAAATTGAGCTTTGCAGCTGAAAATTCACAGTCTGGTGACCAGCTTGCCAGCTGAAAAGCAATGTTTAAGAAAAGTCCAGTGCAAAAATGTTACTTGTTGGCTGCTGCATTTTGCTGAGTGCAGCACAACGTGGTGCCAGGATGCAGCCTGGGAGAGGAGAAGGAGGAGAGGGCAGATTGCCTCTGTAGCCTCCCCTGAAGTGACTCAAGCAGGATGGGATGTGTTCTGAGGCTCAGCTGTAGGTCTGCCTGGCATCTCCTGGGTGTATTTTCTGCTGCAGGCTGAGTGGTGCTGACTCTCTTCTCCTCAGAGCCAAGCTCAGTTCCTCGAAGGGGAGGAAAAATCTGCCTTTAGATGGTTCTGACATGGGCAGAACAGGAGCAGCAGTGAAGACAATAAAGCTGGCAGCCTTCCAGTCTCCTGCCAAGTTACCCCTTTCTCCAACTCATCCCCTGACAAAAGACATCATCCAGGATGTTCATGATAAACTGTGAACAAATAAACACATCTGCAGCCTGCCAGTACAGCAGGGCACTTTTATTCTGCATGCCAGTGAGCTACCTAAGAGAATAAATGTCAGGTAAAATAACACTTTCTAGGTAAAATAACACTTAAAAATCACGATGACAGGCATGCATTTAGAAGTAATCATCTTGGGTCCTTATATTTGGAATAAATACTTCAATCTGATGGATAAAATTATTTCCTTTGTTGGCTAAGTAGACTTTCTTAATTTGTGGTAGTGGTGTGAGGTACTCAGCAATTATTTGAGTGCAGAAAAGGTCTGTTTGGTGCAGGATGGCTTGTTGTTCTTTAACAGAGAATTTTAATTTTACTTTAATAGGAGTAATTGGAGCAGATGTGAAAGGACACAACCTTCCATGTGAGAACCAGCCCATTACATCCCGAGTCGCTATGATCTGTGGAACATCTTCGTGCCACATGGGGGTAGGTTGTATGTGTCATCCTAATTTGTGCAGAATTTACTAACTTATGTTTCTGAAGGGAAAATTGACCTTTGTCCTTCTCACCCCGTTCTTTTTTCCTTGAATTTTTTTTTCTGGTAACTCTATCTTTACCTTTGGATATTAATTATAAATTACCGTGCATTTGCTATTAAGCAAGAACTTTAATAGTAGTAGAAATCAATACTGAAAAATGACATGGAAAGTAAAAACCACGATGCCAGAGTGGTTTAAAGAGCAGCCTGAAATCTGAGCCAAAGCCTGAGCCTGAGTTATCTGTGACAAGCCTATCACTAATGTGTTACAGAAGAGTGTCTTTGGAGAAGGAGTGCCCATCTTCAGTCACAGCCCTGCTCCTCCACCTCTTCCCTTAATCAATATAAATCCTTTTCCCTCTGAAAATTGCCATGGTGTGTAGAATTATGAGACATATCATGACTAAAAAGAAAGAAAACCCCCCAATAAGCAGTTTTCACTTTGCTAATTTTTCTCGGTGAATTAATACAAAAGCTTTCTCTGAGATTGCAATTAAAATTTAGTATCTGCTTTTGAAATTTATACTGTTTTAAAATGTATGAGTCTGAGAGCATTCCATTTAGATAAGTACCCTTTTCTGCCACATTTTTTATTTAAAACTCATTTTGGTCTTAAATTTAGAATGATTAGAACTTGGATTTTTCCAAAAAGGAGCAAATGGCACTGGGAGTCCTAGAGGAGTTGGGGAGGAATGACATGCTTCATGGAGAAAGCTCCAGGAGAGAAAAAGAAAGGAGGCTGATAATAAAACATCAGTCTTAACAATAAATTAAATTGTCTCTGTAGTAACAGTACGAATCCATGGTGATCTTGAGCATGAATAAATGGTGATCTTGTCACATGGATTGTTGTTCAGCAAAGTATTTTAGCACGTGATTGAATTTAAGGACGTGAATAATCCCACTATTGTGAAGCAGAGCATTAAGCTTAAATCCCCTAGACCAACTGGAATATGTTTTGGTTCCTTCCTAAACAAAAGTTTCAAGCTTCAAGCTCCATCACTCTTGGCTTGCTCTGTCTTTGAAAAATTCCACTGGTACCTGTCTGTCTGTCATAGGGCAGGTGGGGCACCCTGGGGGAAGAAGTCACCCTTCAAGCCCTGCCACTGCTTCCATTGTTTCCTGGTTTTTTGATGGAGGCTTCTGCCCTTTCAGTAGAAGCTGTGTGAGTGAACTCTTCCTAACCTGTTTCATATAGCTGAGTTAGTTTGAGTTGTTAAAATGAGTTAATAGAGACATAGTACTGGACTGCAGTGAGCTGAGGAGCTCGCAGGCAGCTTCCCCCAAAGGTCTGAGGGCAGTGTTGGGTAGCTGGCAGTGGGCCAGCTGGCTCTGGCTCATTCCTTTAGCACAACCAGCCCTGGAGCAGGACATGTGTGTGGTTATTTATTAATGGTTGATATTTGTGCATTGGTGAGTTCTAACATACACCCAGTTCACAACAGTGGGTTGTTTGACTTCCCAAACTGGAGCACGGCACATCAATATTAACACGTTTTGTGTGCACTCTCCACAACCATGAGAGTTGTGGCTCCATTAAATATGCTAATGTAGCAAAAGGGATGTGATAAAATCCATGTTGATGCTCTGTCATCAAAGCAACCCCAAAGTCGAACACAGACTGCACAAGGCAGAAACTTTTAAGGCTTTTAATCACTTCAGTTCAAACTCAGGAATAGACGCTTGTGCAGTTTTTGCTAGATTTAAGTAGATTTTTACTTAAATCTACCTACTCAGCATTTTATAATCATTTCCTTAACTGCTTGCCTTCACCCATCTGCACAGGGAGGGGTATAACAGTCTCTAGCCAGCAGACAATAAGTAAATTCTAAACTTCTCTGGATCTAATCTGTGAAAGGATTTTAGTTTTCTGTTCTTTTATCTATTACCTGCACAGGCTGTGTGAAGTGAGTGTGGAGCACACAGAGCAGTTGTATTTGTGTTTTAATGAGACCTATATGCAGCTGCATTTGGCCAAAATTAGCTGTTCCTTTTTTTAATTAGGGCTATAAAATGAAAGTATATTATACTTGTGTTTTGATAGAAATATATATTTTCTCTCTCCGTGTGGACCAAGGGACCCTGAGGGCTGCAGAGATTAATCATCGAGTTTAATTTAATGCAGTGGGAGAGAGACCTGTGTGGTCAGGCGGGCATTAAAAAGTGCCTTTGATGTGCCTCAGGTGCACTGAGCCCCAGTGAGCCAGCAACAATAATACCTTTGTGAGATGATCAGAGACAAGAGAGGGAGAAAATGGCCTGTGTGGAAACTCAAGGCCGTCCTTTGTTGTGGTTCTGGCAAACGAAGGAGCCAACTGTCAGGAGAAATTCAGCAAACAGAAAGCAGGGGGAAAGTACGGCTGGGTTTCTTTCAAGGGGCCGTAACAGGAAACTGTTCAAAATCATCTGCAATGCCTTTCTTTTCCACCCCTTCCTCCTCCTCTGCTCAGGGCAGGGGGACTGCTCTTGGTATCTGAGTAGTTCCATTCTCTAGACCAAGTACTCCATGAGTCACAGGACTTGAACACAGCATTTACTTTAAACTTTCAGAGAAACTGCTCCTCGACCCAGTTTTCATTACCTCCAGGACTCTAGAGATCTTAAACAAAAGACTTTGCTAATCATGCCTTTGATATTTTAGAATGTACAAATGTGGAACCTAATTTTACTCATGGCTATAATAGTTTAATTTGTGGTGGAACTACCATTTTTAGGTGAGGATACGCTTTTGGAATTAACCACTGACAGTTTGGGGTAATCAGAGGGACACAGAGAATTTCATGTTTCTGTCGAATAGCTCATGAAAGCAGCAAAATGCTTGTTGTAATTAGGTTATTGACCCCAGCCCAGGTCTGAGCTGTTGGTTGCTGAAAGTCACTGCCACCTCAGGGCTCATCCATTATCCATGAGGAAAAAGAAAGGAAAAGATGGTTTTCTGAATATTTTTGGACAGTTATGCATTTTACATGATTCTCTGCTGCCTCCTTTGCCCTAGCAAAAGACATGGGTAGAATTTGCATTTGGAATGGCAAATAAGCTGCTCTTTCACTTGTGAAGGATTGTTTTGGGGCTGGGATTCATCCCTGCAGATTTGGTCTCTGTGCCCAAGGGTATTCCTGACTTTCCTGGTTGGCTTTGCAGGCAGGGGCTCTGAGCTCCAGCACCCACACTTGGCTTTGGAACTTTTAGGAGCCTTTCTCTGTGTAGCCATGGTGACTACACCAAATGTGTGAGTAGTTTTTTCCCAGCAAAATCACAGCAAGTTTGAGGCACTGAAACAGGAGCTTGCCTGTTATTCCTAACTTGTAGTTTGCGTGGGTCTAACAGACATGCCCTAACTTCTGGGAATAAGGTAGTTGGTTTCCCTACAAGCCTGTCTTCCTGCCAGTGTCTTAAGAGATTTTTGGGGTATTTTAAAGGTTTTAAAAATCCCTTTTTTTTTTTCTCCTGAAACCTTTATGTGATCGGGAGGTTTTCAGGCACATATTTCTGTATTCCCATGTCCCAGTCCTGGACAGAGGGGTGCTTTTGCAGGGCAAAGTTGTACCATCATGAAAATATTTGTTGTTCTTGCTCCAACACCTTTTGTGACTCCCAGCTGAAGAAAGTAGGCAGAGCAGCTTTCAATGGGAACTTGGTCTGGCCTAATTTTAGCCTATTAATTGGGGGAGTGTGAATTTGCTGGTATTTTGAGTCCCAAATGTACAAGGTTTGTGTTCCATTATCTCCAGAGTCTCTGGTATTTTTTTTTCTGTCTTCATTTAGTGATACGGTCTGTGTTCTTCTTCAGTCATTCCTTCTTTATCAGTTCTCTGTACTCAACACCTCTTTTTGGGGATTGTCAAGCAATCTCTTCAAGTTTAGATGCAACCTCTTCTTTTGCATCTGTTTTTGTTACTTATGTGACTCTTGGCATTGGGAACAGACTCTCCTGGCTTGGTGCACAATTCTTTTTTCCCTGGGTGATAATGTTCATGTGGTTTGAACTGTATAATTTAGTCCTTTTTTTCAATTGGAGAGGCGCAAGTAATTTATCTTCTACCTTTTCAGATTTAATACATGATCTAAAAGACAGATCAACTACATGAACAGCAAAATGAACAGATCATTTTGCTGTCCCAATGTTTACCATGGATTATTTCAGGAAGAATATCCCGTATTCTCTCTCTCCCTAAGCCTGACTAGCCTTTGAGTGCTTTCTGCTAAAGGAACTCCAGCCCAATTTGCTTATTCTAAATTTGTTCATTTGATTCTCGTGATGACTGGCAAACACAATAGAGCTTCTTTGCTCCACAATATCCGCCCGAGCTGCCAGCTTTGTTCGCACAAATAGAGTGTTAAGCACGTTTCCACCCCCAGAGCATGCACAGTACGTGTCCTTTGCAGTACATCCTGGAGAGGAGACAGCAGAGACATGCTGGCTCAAAGTGTTCTCCGAGCCTGATCTCTAATCTCAGTGGGAGCCAGACCAGCAAGTGGATTCAGTGTATTTTGGCTCTGATACCGGAGTCTCCTCTTCAGAACATGCCACGTTGTTAAAGCAGCAGCCTTGGGAGTGATCGCTGCGCAGGGGCTCCTCGGTGCCCCGAGCAGGGCAGGGCTGGCAGGGCTGAGCAGCCTCTGGCAGCTCGGTGCGGGGCCGCGCTGGAGCCGCGCTCGCTCCGGCATCCCCGCCCCGCAACGTGCGGTCTCCGGGGGGACAGGGCACAGCCCGGGGCACACAGCCCTGCCAGCTGGCTGCCACCCAGCCTGCAGCGGGGACGGCGATTTGTCCTTCTCCTGACCAGGGGAAAGGCGCTGCCTTCGGGAGGGTCAGGCGGGAGAAGGGGGAGGAATGCAGGAGGGGAAAAAAATAAAACCAAAAGCAAACCTAGTGAGGCTGGGGCAGACTGGGCAAGTATGGGGGATGAGCTGTGTGAGCTTTATGGAATTGATAAGCACCTGCAGT